ACAGAATATGTTCCGGTAGGTTAATCCTGTTTTCATTCCCGATACAGGAAGTCCAAAGAACTTGTCATCTGATGTGTCCATTGTGCATAATCTGGCTATGTCCGGCTTGGAATACTCACGTGGACACTCGGTCACACTATGAAAATACATATCAGTAGATACGTCGCAGTCGTGGATGCAGTTGATGTAGTTGTGCATGGAGACATCCAGGTCTTTCTGAAACGTCAAATTGACGTCGGGGCAGCAGTCGTCAAAGGAAGTACACAGATCATCACAGAAACATCCCATCATGTTGAAATATCTGTTTCCTTGTAAAAGCTTTGAATGACGTCCACAGGACCACGAAGTGCAGTGAAATGTGTCAAAAATTTCAGCGATACTGATGTGGGTTCCAAAAAACATATAAACAACGATCCTAAACAGGCCACTGGAATTCATTTTCAGCAAGAAGGTCGACCGGCTAAACGACAGTGTCAGCTATGCTAATATAACAATTTCGTCGGTGAACAAACTGACAAGGTCGGATTAAAGCAATACACTTGCTTGGTATAATGACGATAACACGTCACTGTGACTTCAGTAGTTGACAGTATATCAAACCAGTGTACATCACCACGAGGCGAAATGAGACCTTTCCGTGGCTGTCTCCTAAGAATCAATAGCTAAAATGCAGTATAACTGCACCGTGCTGCCTCCACATACAGCTGAACACGCCTCCTGCACTGGTGGGCAGCGGGCATGTGACGCATGAAGCTGTGGACACCTTGTGGACACATGGTTATCATTTTAATGATTGATTTTCTAACTACGCAAAACAGACAAGCATGATTCCTATGATGTGTGATACAGGAATCAGCATTTGTATTAACAAGGGGTGGAGATTTCGTTCAAGCAGGGTCCTGGCTTATAATTTCTGAGATGATTCGCTAAAAAGATCAAAGGCACCGAGTGTAGTTTATGGACAGGGGGCGGCGGGGTAGTCTATTGGTTAAAGCGTACGCTGGTCACGCCCAAGACTCGATTCCGCAAGTGGGTACAATGTGAGAAGCCCATTTCTGGTGTCCACCGCCGTGAAATTGCTGGAATATTGCTAAAAGCAGCGTAAAATCAAACTCACTCACTCAAAATGGACTGGACCACAACCCCCCCCCCCCCCCCCCCCCCCACTCAAACCTCGTGATCTAACGTATGGTAACATTGTTTTATCATGTACTGTGAATCAAGATGGCGCATCCATTAGTATCGTTCAGTGAAATAGTTCCTTTAAACTTGATATTTTCCAGATGATTTCGGGCCCGTGAAGATTCCGGGGTAGAATAGGTCTTCAGCAACCCATACTTGCCGTAAAAGGTGACTATGCTTGTCGTAAAAGGCGACTAACGGCATCGGGTGGTCAGGCTCTCTGACTTGGTTAATGCATGTCATCGATCCCAATTGCGTGGATCGATGCTCATGATATTAATCACTGGATTGTCTGGTCCAGACTCGATTATTTACAGACCGCCGTCATAAAGCTGGAATATTGCTGAGTGCGGCGTTAAACAACAAACAAAACAAACAAACCCGATGTTTTCAATCAAGGTGCTCACGTTATTTGATGCACTTAAGTAAGACCCGTTTTATCACAATATATATTTTGATTATCGATCGGATCGTCTTGACTGGGCGCCGCCATTATTTTGAAAGCAAATGTAAGTGATGTGCGAGGCGGAATCTGATTGGTCAATAGGTGAGACATAGAAGAGACATAATAGCCACTGGTGGCGCTACGATCGAGCCAAGAAATTCCAGCCAAGTCCGACAAGGGTGAAACTAGACGTATTTAGTCAGCTAACTCCCATGCCTGGGGAAGATAGCGACACAGCGTTAAATTAGTAAAATAAGCCGACCGTGGTCTAGTGGATAGAGCGTCTATCCGGATAGCGGTTATGCGGTTCGATCCCCTATCCGCATCATATAAAAAGACGTTAGAGATGGTACTTGTTGTTACCCTGTCTGGCGCTTAGCATTAAGAAACAAGGACTGGTCGGCTCGGAGTCAGTATACTGTGTCTGAGTTGGGTATTCATGTTAAACTTCGGCATGGAATCTCAGTGAGCTAGCACTATAAAACCGGTATTAGTCCGGACTAGTACAAGTATACCGTGCTCGTGGGTTTCACCGAAGTCTGAGACCTGCATCACTTCGGGCTTTCCTCCCACTTTAAGCTGACACGCCGTTATATAACTGGAATACTGTTAAAAGCGACGATAAGCCCAACTCACTCTAAAGTTGCGGAAACTGAAGAGTTTTGTTTGGTCACTGCTTAAAAACATACAATGTTATTCTCTAAAAAGCAGAGCAAACAAAAATATCGTCTTTCAAAAAAGCATCCAGCGAACATAGATTTTTGTAAAACCTGGCGCAAAACTGTGAGGCAAAAAAAATCAATTGGTAGTTCAAATATAGAGCTCAAGCCACATCACAAATAACAGTATGTCCAACTGAGTTATTTGCATGATGCTATCTGCTGGACGCGTGTGCATCAGCGCCAGATGTCATGTGCTTAATGAGCTGTGATCTTTCAATATCGTGATGGCTTTGCTAATACTAGACAACGGTCACGTCCTCCGTGCGTGACATCCTGACTCCAAGTGAGATTCAGCGGGAGATCACTGAGATCCGAGCTCCTTTAAGTTGAATGTTCCTGCATCCCTGCACATAATCCTCTTACACGATTCACTCCCGGTTGTGCGGTAAGTTAGTTCAGTGATGAAGCATTTTGAAACATATCAATCGCTGGATTGTGTTTTATTGGCCCCTTTTAATAGTCGTTTGCTATTTGTTTTATTTCTCCTTTATTGCGTCTTTGATATGGCTTTGGTCTTGGATATGTTTGTTTTAAAATGGTTTTATTTCCGGGCTCTGCTCCGCAAATATATCGCTTTGCAGAACGGGATCCTCATCTAGTTTGTCTTTTGAGATGTCTTCAGTCTTTGATATGTTGATGGCTGTTAGCCCTGGTGGTATTCCGGGGCAGACTTGCCACCAGTCGGTAGAGCTTTCGCGAGAGCCGAACAATGGTGAGGTGAGGTGAAATGGGGTTTAACGTCGCGTCCATGATTACTGTACTTCTATAGCGACTTGCATGCACGTGTATGTGTGCGTGTACGTGTGCGTGTGCGTGTGCGTGTGTGTGTGTGTGTGTGTGTGCGTGCGCGTGGCTGCTTGTACTAGTCCAGACTGACGCCGATGCTATAGTTTAACATGCATACCCCACTCAGGCGTCGCGTTCAAGATTAGTGCACTTATATAGCGGCGTACATGCGCGCGTGTGTGTGTGTGTTTGGCTGTTTGTACTAGTCCGGACTAATGTCGATTTTACAGTGCTAGCCAATGAGGTACCATGCCGCAGTTTAAAACGAATACCCCACGCAGACACAGTATACTGACTCCGAGCCGACCAGTCCTTATTTTAAGCCCCTTAATGTCGAGCGCCAGACAGGGTAACAACAAGTACAATCGTTTGACGTCTTTTGATATGACGCGGCCGGGGATCGAATCCCGGACTTTCCGCTTTCCGGCCGGACGCTCTATCCACTAGATCACAGAGGCGGTCCCAATGAATGAGGTGAGGTGGATACAACGCGATGCCTGGTGTAGTGTATCGATTATGACATAAACAACATACGCACACATAATAAGTCCCTTGTGCAATTTGAGGGTAAAGTCTTCGGGTAGTGTAACCACTGATTCTGTTTGTCAGATTTTTTCTTGACAATGACCAGAACATGTTGGCGGTGTTTTGTAAGGGTGCAACCAAGCAGGAAAGACGACGGGGGTGTGAAGTAAGGGTTACGTCAATGATGTCTTCATCATGATTGGTCATGCCCCCATTGGTCAAACACTCGTTTATACGGCATGGCATGGTCCGAATCAATCACCCAGTGACAATTTAATGGAGTCTTGCCCACTCCGAATTCTGCACAGCCCGGCCCAGTTCGGCTAACGAAGCGGCTGGCTTTTGACGTAGGAGTACACGACTCCCGATCTCTGTGGGGAAAAGTTCATGACTGGCCATTGCATTCTGGTGATGTTTGCTGTTGAAGGTAGTCAGTTACATACGTGCATGGTAGGCACGGGCGTTATCGTCTTGAATACAATGGGGAAGCTAGCATGGCGCGCGTTATTGGTACCAGTTTGTAGTATGTATAGGTTACACTGTCCAGTGACCTTTCTTTCTGGTAGTAAATGTGATCCCTCCCCATATTATTACAGACAGCCATGTTGCCTTACGTTGATGTTCGCGAGACGTTCGCATGACGTTCGCGTGACGTTCGCGCGACGTTCGCATGATGTTCGCATGACGTTCGCTTGACGTTCGCATGACGTTTGTTAGGACACCCCCAGACACGTCCACGCCTATCCGGAAAGTCTGAGTGAATCTGGACTCATCTGAACACATTACAAGAGGCCATCGGCGATTCCAGTTCCTATGCTCCAAACACCAATGGCGTCTGGTTAGAATATGATGACGGTTCATGGTATAACACGGTGTCGTTTAGCATGTAGATTAGCTGCATGCAGACGATTCCTAGTCGAATAAACAGTAACTTGAACTCCTGTGGCCTGGCGGAAGTGAAGAGCGATTTGATTAGTCATCGTCAACGTGCAATGTTTCGGGTGTGGTGGGGCGTTAGCTTTTGGTTCCGAAACTCTGGTTCTCTGGCAGTCATTTTCCAAAGCTGATCTCTCTCCTGGCGACCTATCATCCAATGTTTCGGGTGTGGTGGGGCGTTAGCTTTTGGTTCCGAAACTCTGATTCTCTGGCAGTCATTTTTCAAAGCTGATCTCTCTTTGTTTATTGTGTGTCATCTTCATGCTGGCGCGGATTGTTGATCGTGCTATCAACTGGTTTGTCATAGAAACATTCGTTTCGGTTGTTTTGATATAGCTTGAATCTCGCTAAGGCGCGTAACAACATGTGCTTACTTAATCGACCGCTGTTTCTGCTTCCAGGTCATGGGGTCATTTGCAGGTCACATCGATGAGGGCATATTCTTCATCATCATCGCAGTTTGGTGGATGATGAACGCCTATGTTCATTATATGTTTGTAAGTAATGACCTCCATCTGTTGATTCAAACATAGAATTGCCACACTTTTATTGAGTTATTGAATTAAAATAAAATCTTGTTATGGTTTATGTCCAAGTCTGATAATCAGGCATGTTAATGAAATATTGGAAACTATTTCCTTGTCTGGCTGGTGTGTGCGTGTGTGTGCGTGCGGGCGTGTGTGTGTATGTGTATGTGTGTCTCTATGTCTAATAATTACTTAATTCCTTATGTTTTGAGGCATACCCCCCACGCACCCCAAAACAAAAACATAGCTTAATTCTGAAAAAGTTGAGTGTTGTGGCCTCTTTTGTCAGGAATTCTTGTGTTTTGCCCTGTTTTTTTCAGAACGTTTATCGACTAAAGTTTATTTACCTGTTGCTGATAATCATTTGTAGAGTTTTTGTCGATCTAATCTGTCATCATACATCACGCACCGCACTGGATGCACCTACCACTACTGCCGGCAACAATAAAACCCCACCTCTTGAAAAAAACTGGATGTATTTAATGACAACTCCTAACAGGGAATGAAAATAGGATCGGTTTGGTTACTATATTAAGTATTGAGAAATCAGGTATTAACACCCCTCCCCCTAAACTCAAGGAATTATGACTTTTATTCGACATCGATGGTCCCTCTGCATCACGACCCAAGTCAAGTTGATCAGCTGGAATTATATATATCTCTGAGCATATATACTGAACAACAAAAGTTCCTGTGACATTGAATAAGATTTAATGCAAAGTTATGTATTTTTTACCAAATCTGAAACAATTTCGGTTGGCAACAGATAAAAGACTCCTGTAAGTGTTCAAATGGTTTAATTTGCCATACTGACTTCAGAAAATGCGTGATTTCATAAAAAACAAACATGAACATGCCAAAATGTTAATTTACAAATCGATAGCGTGTGTGTCCACCTCTGGTTGCGATGCAAGCAACACATCCTCGTCTCATGGAATGGACCAGGCGTCGCACAAAGTCCTGTGGGATATCTGTCCATATCTGCTGGAGCATGTTTCGAAGTTCATGGAGTGTATGTGGAACACGTGGTTGGGGATAACATTCACGTTGTTTTGTTGAAGGGAATCCTGAACAAGTCGAGCAATATGAGGCCGGGCGTTGTCATGTTGAAAGGTAATGCCTGGGTCATGACGACGCAAAAACGGTAGAACAACAGGGCCGATGATCTCGTCGCGGTAGCGCTGTCCATTGATATTTCCCCTCTACCACTATCAAACGGGTCCTCTGTCTTGCTGTAATCCCACACTATACCATAACCCTGCCGCCCCCGAACCGATCTTATTCCATGACACAATGATTGACGTAACGTTCACCTCGACGTCGGTACACTCGAATCCGTCCATCGCTATGGCTGAGGTGAAAACAAGACTCGTAAGAAAATAGAACTTGTCCCCACTGCATGGCCGTCCATGACGCTGTCTGCACCACTGTAGACGTGCTTGACGGTGGTTTCCAGTCACCGTTGCTGGCTGGAATCGATTTCGTAGGTGTGTTGTTCGAATCCAGTTGTCTTGTGGATTATTGGTTACGCGTGGCCTGCCACTCCGAGAATGGTCTCTGACTGCATTCGTCTGTTGCCAACGTTGCCATAAACACCAAATGGTGTTTCTGTGGACGTTAAACTGTCTTGCAACGTCACGTTGACTCGATCCTGCTTCAATCATACCAATGGCTCGCAGACGCTCATCTTGGGACAGGCGTGGCATTTCGTAGTGTTGAATAATTGCGTAGTTTTGTTGTTTTTCTGAGTGGTTGTTGTCAGCACGATGCTAAACAATGCATATGGAATCCCGTTAACGCACATGTTTTTATACCCATTCTTGGGTAGTGAAATGCATGGGGATTGCATAAAAGTCAACTTTTGCATAGAATGCATGCTTTTCTGTAGCAGTTGCGTTTTTGTGACTTGATTCCATATCCATGTACTACAATATTGAAAACCTTTCTTTACTTGTTTGAAAAATACACTAAAATATTGGTGTGACAGGAACTTTTGTTGTTGAGTATATGATATTTACGCTTTTGCTGAACTCACATATATATATTTTATTCTCTCTTTGTGACTGACATAGTTCGAATGGGAGATTAAATTTACAGATGTCACGTAGAACCATAGCTACAAAACAGATGTAATCCTGCAGGGGGTCTTATGCAGGAAATGGTGAAACTGCGTGTCACCTTGATCCATATATTTATATGGTATAGCTTTGTTTCCCGCAGGCCGAAAGTCCGATAAAAATAGAAATAACGTCAGTGAGTGATTATGATTTTACGCCGCTTAACAATATTCTAGTAATATCACAGCAGGGTAGACATGGGCTCCTCACACTGTACATAACTACCTCCATGTGTCATGACAGTGGTGTTGCCGATGTTTCGGTAAATCTTGAAAAGAACATGCTTGTCGTGAGAAGCGACTAACATGCATGTCATCATATACCAATCACGCATATTGATGCTCATGATGTCAGCCACTGGATTGTCTGGTCCAGACTCGATTTATTACAGACAACCGTCATATAGCTGGACTATTTCTGAGTGCGGCGTTAAACAACAAACAAACAAAACATCTTAATGTCGCTCCAATGATATGTAGAGCCCATAGCCATGGGTGTTGTAACAAAACATGTTCGGTGCGTATGTCTTTGCCTCTGTGTATGTTTTTTGCGTCTGTGTATGCCTTTGCCTCTGTGTATGTCTTTGCGTCTGTGTATGCCTTTGCGTCTGTGTATACCTTTGCGTCTGTGTATGTCTTTGCGTCTGTGTATGCCTTTGCGTCTGTGTATGCCTTTGCCTCTGTGTATGTCTTTGCCTCTGTGTATGTCTTTGCGTCTGTGTATGTCTTTGCGTCTGTGTATACCTTTGCGTCTGTGTATACCTTTGCGTCTGTGTATGCCTTTGCGTCTGTGTATGCCTTTGCGTCTGTGTATGCCTTTGCCTCTGTGTATGTCTTTGCGTCTGTGTATGCCTTTGCGTCTGTGTATGTCTTTGCGTCTGTGTATGTCTTTGCCTCTGTTTATGTCTTTGCGTCTGTGTATGCCTTTGCGTCTGTGTATGTCTTTGCCTCTGTGTATGTCTTTGCGTCTGTTTATGTCTTTGCCTCTGTGTATGTCTTTGCCTCTGTGTATGTCTTTACCTCTGTGTATGCCTTTGCGTCTGTGTATGTCTTTGCCTCTGTGTTTGTCTTTGCGTCTGTGTATGCCTTTGCGTCTGTGTATGTCTTTGCGTCTGTTTATGTCTTTGCCTCTGTGTTTGTCTTTGCCGCTGTGTATGCCTTTGCGTCTGTGTATGTCTTTGCGTCTGTGTATGTCTTTGCGTCTGTTTATGTCTTTGCGTCTGTGTATGCCTTTGCGTCTGTGTATGTCTTTGCGTCTGTGTATGTCTTTGCCTCTGTGTATGTCTTTGCCTCTGTGTATGCGCGTTAATCAACCACCTCTTTTCTTTTCCAGCGACGAGACCGAGGAAAAGAATTCATTCCCAAATTCAGTTTTCCGTTACCAGGGAAACGGCGAGTTCCGGTTGAAATATACTTCAAGCTAGCATTTCCGGTTGTAGGTATGTATTAGTGTATTGGATTAGCGAGTGAATGCTGTTTGGCTCCGCAGTCGCAACACTATTGGTAATACTTTGACACCCTGCCTTATCTCACTCATACTGCCTCTATATACACGAACTATTCCAGTAATTAGAGGACCAATAATAGCAAAAAGCGTTATAACATACCATATTTCCTCTTTTAGACGCTGGGGCACGGGTGGCCCAGTCGTCTAAGGCGCCGAGATTCGCTGTGCAGTGTTGCGTCCCTTGGGCACGCCAGAAACCTATGATTGTGGGTTCGAATCCCGGTTCGCCCCGATTATGTTTCTAGGTTTGTCAGCACCATACCCGTGCTCGTGGGTTTCACCGAAGTGGTAAACGTCTGAGACACGCATCACTTCGGGCTTTCCTCCCACATTAAGCTGACACGCCGCGATATAACTGGAATACTGTTAAAAGCGGCGTTAAACCCAACTCACTCACTCACTCACTTACTCTTTTAGACGCTGGGATATACCCTCTGTCGTAACAATAGAAGTTCTAACAGAGGCCGGGTTCATCATGTACGGCATGTGATGATTACTTGTTCACTATATAATAACCGTTTCCTGCAAATGTACTCTTTGTATGATTGTAGAAGTTGGGATTATGTGAGTTAGTAAATTTCCAGGCCTCTTATACACGCGTCAACTGTTTGTGCGAAATTAATAGACGCTCTGATAATAGAGGAAATACGGTACACTTTATGCGTGACGTTTGTTTAAATTAGACATATACACATCCTTATGATCAAAGGTTGCTTAAGTTATAGCAGGGCGTATCATCTAGATGTAGCCGGGAAGCCAAACGTGACGCAGATTGTACACGATGAGATGCTCAAGGTCAACTGTTGTTTGTTGTTTAACGCCGCAATATTCCAGCTATATATATATATGAGTGAGTAAGTGTGTTGGTATGGTTTTATGCCGTTTTGGTAGAGCGTCCGCCTGGAGAGCGGAAGGTCCGGGGTTTGATCCCCGGCCGCGTCATTCCAAAAGACGTTAAAAGATGGTACTTGTTGTTACCCTGTCTGGCGCTCGGTATTAAGGGGCTAAAAAAAGGACTGGTCGGCTCGGGGTCAGTACACTGTGTCTGAGTGGGGTATTCATGTTAAACTGCGGCATGGTATCTCAGTGAGCTAGCACTATAAACCGGCATCAGTCTGGACTAGTACAAGCAGCCACACAAACACACACACACACGTACATCCACGTCGCTATATAAGTGCAATAATCTTGGACGCGACGTTAAACCCCATTTCACCTCACCACTGTTTTTCAAAACTGGGTTTACGATTCCGCCAACTGGAAATGTGGAAAAAAGGAGTTGGTTATTTTCATAGTGAGTGAGTGAATGTTGTTTAACGCGATATTCCAGCTCTATCACATCGGCCTCCAATCTCATTAAAATCATATCTTAGTTCTCGTTCCCTCTAAACAAATATCTGAGGACATCCCATTAGGGGTCACGTCAGAACGACCCTTCGCGAACTTTGACCGGCCACTGAAATGACTTAACAAGAAGTCGACATCAGCCAATTAGAAAGCAGCTTTCTCGAGCTTTACGGCACTCGTTTCAACCTGGCGACTTCCATTTCAGACTACGCTTGCAAAATATGTAGACACAGTTCTCGACTAAAATTTTGAAAACTGAACAAACGAACATTCCGTAATGTCTAATATATGGTTGAGATTGTATTGCAGTGCTTCCCACGTAGTGTGCAACGCCTCTTCCGTGTATATGTTTATACCACGGAAGCGACAGATAGATGATAAATTTGGCGGATTCAGTCGTACGGGCCGTAACTGTCGTTTGGAGTACCCCGTGTTAACGTTTTCGAGGTTGCATGATTAGAAAACACATTCCGACTGTCACTTTCATGATCAGGTAAGCGACGCTTGGTCGGATGAAAGGGTCGCTCTGACGTGACCCGTAATGGAATGTCCTCAGATCTTTGTTTAGCGATAGCGAGAACTAAGATCTGATTTTAATGAGACTGATCGGCCTCCAATATTTACCAATGACCTGTTTCAACTCGGAATCTTCATGGGTGCAACTCACTCACTCACTCCTTCGCTCAACCATTTTCCCCTGTGTAGGATTCCTGGCAGAGCTGATTGACAGTGGGGCTAAGTTCCAAGACGATGACGGCAACTTCATCAACCTCGTCTACATGCAGCACGTCACCATCTACGGCTTGTTCATCATCCACGCAATCACCGACCTCCTCATGTATTACGACTTCCCACTCCTCGCCGGCACGCACTACCTCACAGCTGCTGTCGCCTTCTTCTGGTATGGCATCGGCTTCTACTACCACGCCCACATGCACGGCAAGGAGCCCCTGGAGGAGATAGTTCACGTCCTGCCCGTTCCGGTGATGCTGGCTACTGGGCTAGCCATCCTGTGTGAGATGTTGTGGAGGAAGGGCGTGGCCACTGTTCTTGTGAGGGCGTACTTTGTGTTGACGTTGGGAACGTGGTTCTCACACGTGGCCTTCATCCTGTACGATCACACGTCATTCCCAGGTAGGTCAGAGGTGAAAAAAAATGTTTCCTTCAAAATGTCTTTCCAAAGGTGGGACTGAGCGCAAAAGACATGTATTCTGAACCCCATCACCCACCCCTCGAATATTAAATGCTCGGCCCCTTTCAGCTACACATAGGATTAACACGTAGACATTAACACTCCGAGCCGACCAGTCCATTTTGAGTGAGTGAGAATGGTTTCACGCCGCTGTTAGCAATATTCCAGCAATCTCACGGCGGGGGACACATAAAAATCAGATCTTAGGGGGGGGGACAGAAATGGGCTTCATGCATTGTATCCATTGGGTACTCGAATCCGGGCCTTTTAAAGCTAGGCTACCCCACCGCCACGTTTTAAGTTCGAGAAGATCATGCACTGAGATTCAGCGAATAACAATGGAGTGTTTGTTTGTTTGTTCGTTATTTAACGCCACACTCAGCAATATGCCAGGTATATGACGGCGGCCTGTAAATCATCGCGTCTGGGCAAGACCAGTGATTGACATCATGAGCATCGATCTACGCAATTGGCATACGATGACATGCATCGACTAGGTCAGCGAGCCTGACCACCCGATCCCGTTACTCGCCTCTTACGACAAGCAAGGGTTGCTGAACCCCAATTCTAACCCGGATCTTCACGGGTTTACAATGGAGTGAGGGCGTTACTTTAATGTCTACGGTTGACTGTTGAAGACTGCTTACAAAACAAGGGACGGGTTGACAGGAAAAAGTTAGTCAGTATGTAGTCGACGCATACCTAACGGTTCACAAATACAAGGAAACTAAACATTTGGATTATCTAAACAAATGAGTGTCACGAAGCAACAATTCTTATTGCATGTATTTGACTCTTCCAGGCAGTCATCCGTCTAACTATAACCGTCATGATCACAGAAACGTTGCATTTGCTGCTGCAGCCTTCGGCATGCATCTCTGTTTCAACCTCATCTTCATGGTCGTGAGCTACGTCATCACCTACTACGTCGTGAGATGGATGTACGGTGTACGCATCACCAACAGGTACTACCACGACGAGGACGACTTGTCGTACAAGAAAGTACCAGATCACTCGGACGAGAGTGCAGAGTCTTGCCTTTTGAAGGACTGTGACTTTTAACGTATTCTTAGGACATGGGTGGCCCTTCAGAGTTACAGGATCCGCTGATCTAAGACTCGTCGTGATTATGATCCGTGATTTGCGAGCATCTCATCGTGTACAATCTGCGTCACGTTTGGCTTCCCGGCTACATCCAGATGATACGCCCTGCTATATCTAAAATGCTGTTTAAAAGCAGCGTTTAACGTTATTCACTTACTTCAATACATTCCATGAAAGGATTAGGAGTGAGTGAATGAGTATGGTTTTACGCCGCTTTTAGCAATATTCCAGCAATACCACGGCGGGGGACACCAGAAATGGGCTTCACACATTGTACCCATGTCGGAATTCGAACCCGGGTCTTGGGCGTGAAAGGATTAGGAGGGCAGTGAGTGAGTGAGTGAGTGGGTGTGTATGGTTTTACGCCGCTTTTAGCAATATTCCAGCAATATCATTGCGGGGGACCCCAGAAATGGGCTTCACACCACGACGGGAATCGAACTCGGGCCTTCGACATGACGAGCCAACGCTTTAATGAGGACAGCATTTTCTTTGGTTTTTGTGTATGTTTTATAGCGTTGCAAATTGTGTTGCATGTTCTGGCAAAATATAAATGAAGCCACTGGAGTGGACGTGGTGGCACTGGGTGTGGGTTCTATTAATACAATTTAAGGTCGTAGTTCTGAAATAGAGTTGAGAATTCCTTGCAGCCTGACCCCCCACAGACTCTGGGGTGAGGTGACATTGGGTGTTACGTCGCGTTCAATATGAAAGTACGGACGTCTTAAAGCATGAACCACAAGGAAAGCATGAACGCTACACAGTATGAACGCCACAGAAAGTATGAACGCTACATAGTATGAACGCCACAGAACGTCTGAAAGCTACATAGTATGAACGCCACAGAAAGTATGAACGCTACATAGTATGAACGCCACAGAAAATCTGAACGCTACATAGTATGAACGCCACAGAAAGTATGAACGCTATATAGTATGAACGCCACAGAAAATCTGAACGCTACATAGTATGAACGCCACAGAAAGTATAAACGCTACATAGTATGAACGCCACAGAAAGTATGAACGCTATATAGTATGAACGCCACAGAAAGTCTGAACGCTACATAGTATGAACGCCACAGAAAGTCTAAATGCTACATAGTATGAACGCCACAGAAAGTATGAACGCTACATAGTATGAACGCCACAAAAAGTATGAACGCTACATAGTATGAACGCCACAGAAAGTATGAACGCTACATAGTATGAACGCCACAGAAAGAAGCCAAAGACAGAAAGTACGAGTTCCTCACAGCATGACACCTCCCAGTCTGAACTATGAAGCTGGCTGAAAGTATGAACGCCTATGAACGTCTCATGGTATGAACCCGACAGTGTATGTCATGCAAGTTATGCAAGTTATGTCTATGTATGTTTTACATTACGTCTCCTCATCCTCCATCAGTGACACATACATTGGTTCTTATTATCTAGACCCGTGAAGATCCGGGGTAGAATAGGTCCTCTGTAGCCCATGCTTGCCGCAAAAAGCGACAATGCTTGTCGTAAGAGCCGACTAACGGGATCGTGGTCAGGCTCGCTGACTTTGTAGATGCATGTCATCGTATTCCAAATGCGTGGATCGATGCTCATGATGTCAGTCACTGGATTGTCTGGTCCAAATTAGATTATTTACAGACCGCCGTCATATAGCTGGAATAATCCTGAGTGCGGCGTTAAACAACAAACCAATCTTATTATTTATCATACCATGAATACATAAACACTATTATATTTTAATTGTGTATTTTTAAATTGTATTTTATTATTGGTTTTGTCGTTTGCTTTCTCCTTATCTTGGTGTATCTTAATAACTTAATTTACTGAATAACATGAATAACTGAGAATAAATTTTAGTTGAATTGCATGGTAATTATATTTATTTTAGCATAAGGGTATTTTTCATCACAGAGTGAGTGAGTGAGTGAGTGAGTGAGTGAGTGAGTATGGTGAGTATGAGAGCTGCAACATGTTACGATAAGACACAGGTGGAATCGTCCTCCAGGTCTCGCATATCGGTAAACCTACACTAACCGGTAGGAATCGTCCTCCACGTCTCGCATATCGGTAAACCTACACTAACCGGGTGGAATCGTCCTCCAGGTCTCGCATAACGGTAAACCTACACTAACCGGTAGGAATCGTCCTCCACGTCTCGCATATCGGTAAACCTACACTAACCGGGTGGAATCGTCCTCCAGGTCTCGCATAACGGTAAACCTACACTAACCGGTAGGAATCGTCCTCCACGTCTCGCATATCGGTAAACCTACACTAACCGGGTGGAATCGTCCTCCAGGTCTCGCATATCGGTAAACCTACACTAACTGGGTGGAATCGTCCTCCACGTCTCGCATATCGGTAAACCTACACTAACCGGTAGGAATCGTCCTCCACGTCTCGCATATCTGTAAACCTACACTAACCGGTAGGAATCGTCCTCCAGGTCTCGCATATCGGTAAACCTACACTAACCGGGTGGAATCGTCCTCCACGTCTCGCATATCTGTAAACCTACACTAACCGGGTGCAATCGTCCTCCACGTCTCGCATATCGGTAAACCTACACTAACCGGGTGGAATCGTCCTCCAGGTCTCGCATATCGGTACCCCTACACTAACCGGTAGGAATCGTCCTCCACGTCTCGCATATCGGTAAACCTACACTAACCGGGTGGAATCGTCCTCCAGGTCTCGCATATCGGTACCCCTACACTAACCGGTAGGAATCGTCCTCCAGGTCTCGCATATCGGTAAACCTACACTAACCGGGTGGAATCGTCCTCCAGGTCTCGCATAACGGTAAACCTACACTAACCGGGTGCAATCGTCCTCCAGGTCTCGCATAACGGTAAACCTACACTAACCGGGTGGAATCGTCCTCCAGGTCTCGCATAACGGTAAACCTACACTAACCGGGTGGAATCGTCCTCCAGGTCTCGCATAACGGTAAACCTACACTAACCGGGTGCAATCGTCCTCCAGGTCTCGCATATCGGTAAACCTACACTAACCGGGTGCAATCGTCCTCCAGGTCTCGCATAACGGTAAACCTATACTAACCGGGTGCAATCGTCCTCCAGGTCTCGCATAACGGTAAACCTACACTAACCGGGTGCAATCGTCCTCCAGGTCTCGCATAACGGTAAACCTACACTAACCGGGTGGAATCGTCCTCCAGGTCTCGCATAACGGTAAACCTTCACTAACCGGGTGGAATCGTCCTCCAGGTCTCGCATATCGGTAAACCTACACTAACCGGGTGCAATCGTCCTCCAGGTCTCGCATAACGGTAAACCTACACTAACCGGGTGCAATCGTCCTCAAGGTCTCGCATAACGGTAAACCTACACTAACCGGGTGGAATCGTCCTCCAGGTCTCGCATAACGGTAAACCTACATTAACCGGGTGGAATCGTCCTCCAGGTCTCGCATATCGGTACCCCTCCTCCTAGGAAAGCTGTATCGGCCCCTGTTCCTGGCGGGTATATGGATGGAAACTGTAAATCCGTTCTCACTATCGTCTAGACTTAAAAGCCTGTACATGCCAAATTATTCCAGAGTACAAGTCAACATTACTTTCAACAAAATAAACTTTACCATTACCATACGCGACTCAAAAGAATCACGATAAATAATAAATATAGACAATTTCAAGGCCGGTTGACGAAGTCGATATCGTGACAGTGCAAACCATCCCAGCCTTTATGCATTGAAAGACTTGAGGATTATTAATAATGCTTGGCCATGCCCTTTTGAGTGGATAGTTTCAACACAAACTGGTTACATTTGACACCTCCAATATCTTGTCGTGTATTCGGTCAGCATGGAATCTTACAGGACGATCGTCTTTGTTCTGATCTGTGTCACAGGAATATATGCAGGTTCACTGTCCATACGGAAGACCCTCTACAACAAAGTGCTTGGCGGTTATAACTCTCAAATACGACCGGTGTTAGATGACTCTGAACCAACGCCCGTGAACATAGGGTTTGTATTCATCCCCTTGGTGGATCTGAACGAGGTTGAACAATCAATAACACTGAACGGAATGTTCAAGTTGGGGTGGCAAGATGCATCTTTACAGTGGGACCCCGCTGATTATGATGGTATAACGAAAATATACAACAGAAGGTGTGGTTGCCTGACATCTTTATAACAAACACGCTGACAGAGGACACCTCGGCTTTGATGAATTGACAGTGCAGGTGGAAAACACAGGGCTTGTTTTTGGCAGCCATCGGGTCTCTTCACCCTGTCATGCAAAACTGACGTCACCTTCTTTCCATTCGACAAACAAACTTGCAAAATGGTGGTGTCGACTTACGGTTCTCAAGGTTTTTTAAAGATATATCCTTTATTCCCGACCATCTTCAGCGAGCTACCGACACCCCCAATGGGCTGTTTCGAATGGTAAATGTGACAACGGAGTTGTTGGAACTGGATGACATGGACGCTTTACCAGAAATATTTGTGTATTTGGATCTCGAGCGTCGTCCTGTCAACTACATCGTGAACGTCCTTCTCCCCATCATCCTGCTCTCCATCGTCAGCATCTTGGTGTTTTTCGTACCGGTGGATTCTGGAGAGAAGGACCCGTGAAGATCCGGGGTAGAATAGGTCTTCAGCAATCCATGCTTGTCGTAAAAGGCGACTAACGGGATCGGGTGGTCTGGCTCGCTGACTTGGTTGATGCATGTCATCGATCCCAATGGCGTGGGTCGATGGTCAGGATGTCAATCACTGGATTGTCTGGTCCAGACTCGATTATTTACAGACCGCCGTCATATAGCTGGAATATTGCTGAGTGCGGCGTTAAACAACAAACAAACAAACCAAACCAATCTGGAGAGAAGATTGGCCTTTGCATCACTGTCCTTCTGGCCTTCTTCGTGTTCCTGCCAGCAGCATCCTGCCAGTTACATCCCTGCAGACTCCGTGTCTGGTCATCTGCATCTCGTCCTTGACCGGCCTGAGTGGACTTACCCTGGCGTCCATCATCGTCCTCAACGTCCACCACAAATGGTCATTTAGCCTGCACACACGTGAAATGCAGAAATCTGAAACCAGTATTCCCCTGCAGTGCGTACCAAGGCCGAATCCTTTGAGGCATCAGTAAACAGGTGCGTGAAGTTGGCATTATGTTCAGTTATAAAGTCCTGAGATGACATTTGGGCTTATTCGTTTGCTAATGATTGAATTCAGATCATAACAAAGACCTGGTTTCAGAAGCAGCGACGGAGCAGTATCTGGAGGTGAAGAGGAATCAGCTGGGTCGCACTGTATTACTCCATGCTTGGCCGTAAGTTTCTGAATGCTCAATCCGAAAAGGACCTTGCCATCGTCCACCACAAACCAGATGATGTCCCAATACCGGCATTCATCAAAGTACGGGTCAGATGGATGCTGTGCAAACGATCCAAGACGTTCGTAAACAAAGTGTCCACCATCAAACAGAAACGTCTTCACCCTCGATCCATGACGTGCGACAGCCTCGGGGTTGGAGACCGGGGAGACCGGAACGAGAACCCAAACCCAGATGTCCCCATTACAGAAGACCTCAAAACAGAGGTCGGAGAAGACGTGAACACTGAGGTCAGGATTTCCTGGCAGCAGGTGGCATGGTGTGTGGACACCGCATGTTTTGTTCTGTTCAGCGCGGCTGTGATCATCTCAAATATAGTGTTTGGTCTCATCATGCTTCAAACCGTTCAAGTGCAAGGATATTAAATTGCCGAGTGTAACTCAAACATTTCGTGTTAGCGTTATGATGAATTAATAAGAGGCTGAAGGGTCAATTACAAAGAAGAGGTGAGGTGAAATTGGTTTAACGTCGCGTCCAAGATTATTGCACTTATATAGCGACGTGCATGTACGTGTATGTGTTTGTGTTTGTGTGGCTGCTTGTACTAGTCCGGACTGATGCCGATTTATAGTGCTAGCTCACTGAGATACCATGCCGAGGTTTAACACAGTATACTGACTCCGAGCCGACCAGTCCTTGTTTTAGCCCCTTAATGCCGAGCGCCAGACAGGGTAACAACAAGTACCATCTTTTAACGTCTTTTGGTATGGCGCGGCCGGGGATCGAACCCCGGACCTTCCGCTCTCCGGGCGGACGCTCTATCACTAGACCACGGAGGCGGTCTACAAAGAAGAAAAAATGAGAGGTATTTGGTCGCATTATTAGACGTTTGGGTGAGTGAATGTTGTTTAACGCCGCAGTAATCAAGGTATCGGCTATATCAGAGCAGCTTCAATCAAAGAGACCAATGCCTGAAATTATCAACAACTTCCCACGCCATCGGGGCAAGTGGCACAATATCAAATGAACACCGGTTCATTTCAATCGATCATGGGATCTAGGGACAATTTTAACCCAGAATCCCCACTGGGTCACAAATAATTGGTTGAGAAAAATGACTGATACTATTCAATGGGGCGGTCGGGTAGCCTATGGGTTAAAGCGTTCGCTCATCACGACGAAGAGCCGGGTCGATTCCCCACATGGATACAATGTGTGAAGCCCATTTCTGATGTCCCCCGTTGTGATATTGCTAAATGTTGCGGCGTAAAACCACACTCTCTCACTCACTCATTCTGGAAGATATGCCCCAGGTGTGGTGTGCTGAGATGATTATGGGAGTGAGTATGTTGTACTCTGCCGTAGCAGGGCGGGGAATACCATGGATTTGGAAATCATCTATACGGGGTGACGGGTGAATGCTTTAACCACTAGGCTACCCAAACTGTCCTTATGACATTTAATACTTCACAGTGACGTCAATGACTCATTATTTAGTTGCTACTGCACAGCGTGGTTTGGTTCATCATAACGTCATCACGGGTATGTATGTATACACTATGAGCTTCCATCACCCGTGAATACATTGGGCCGATATGTGGTGTGGTGGTGACGTGTGTTTATTTTTAGTCAGCCAATGATGGTGTCGTGCATCACTCAATGGTTTGTTTGTTTGTTGTTTAACGCCGCACTCAGCAATATTCAAGCTATAGGACGGCGGTCTGCATATAATCGAGTCTGGACCAGACAATCCAGAGATTGACATCATGAGCATCGATCTACGCAAATGGGATACGATGAGATGCATAAACCAAGTCAGCGAGCCTGACCACCCGATACCTTAAATCGCCTCTTACGACAAGCATGGCTTGCTGAATACCAAGCTGGATCTTCACAGGTCGAAAGCTATGGTACACGTACATATGCTGCATTCGATGTCAAGCGGGAGACTTACCGTTTGTACGATGCAATCTGAGTACTCGCCGATTTCCCTCTCGCTGAACCTGAGTGAGTGAGAATGGTTTTACGCCACTTTTAGCAATATTTCAGCAATATCACGGCGGGGGACACCAGAAGTGGGCTTCACACATTGTACCCATGTCGGGAATCGAACCCGGGTCTTCGGCGTGACGAGCGAACGCTTTAACCACTAGGCTACCCGATCGCCCCCGCTGAACCTGACTGTGGTTTGATGTGTTGGCTATGTAATGGATAAATTATGAGATTCGGGGCTCGTTGATTCTACTTCCGGTATCAACAGACACAAGTGATTTCTCACTCTCCTACCCAGAGTTCCACGCGGCCGGCAGCCAGCCAGCCAGCATAGTACCTCTGCCACAGGCAAACGCCATGTGACGATTCGTCACATCTTTCACGGTCCATTCAAGATACTGAATATGCTTTTCATCCGTTTCATGTTTGACAAGTCTACACATTTTCATAAACAAATGTCAAAGAATGGTTACGGCTCATTAAGAAAGTATGCTTATACGTGAAAATCTACTGGTTTTTTCGTAGTTATCCTTTGATTTCATTGGTTGCTCCACTAGCTGTTATCGAAGCCCAACGGAGAGCTAGCAATACGGTGACTTTGATGTATAAATATATATCGTCATGCAACTCACTGTCGGAGTTGTAGTAGCATATCTATATAATTATGCAAAACAATATGTAAAGCGCCTCCAAATACTTGCATTAGTCCGTTCTATTCTGATTTCTGAAAAAGCGCGTTTGTTTGCAAACAAGAGAAAATCCGGTCACGTGATATGCAAATTAGCCTGTGGCAGTGGTGTTATGCCGAGTCACCACTGAGCCGGAGTGTGGTGATTTCTCCGACTCAAACCATGTCACGGTTGATAATTTCGCTATAATTTTCCAAAATGACATATAGTTGCGTCAATTTTACTTGTTTGAAATGCACGTTCAGAAAGACCAGTGAATCCTGGCGCAGAATCAACTGCCATTCGTCACCACTCGCCTCTTTCCGTAACCTGCAAGAAGACTCGTCCCCCTCTCGATGAATGTTATGTGCGAAAATACGACAAACCAATCAGAATGCGCGTATGATTTCGAGTTCTTTGTCAAATAATCCCTCAGAAATAATTTTTGATTTTACATATGTCTTGCACCTAAAAATATACCCAAGACACAGTTAAATGTGTTCAGTCATACTGTATAATTCCGCACGTCCCGATGTCCTTTAAATTGCATCAGCAAAATATATATTATATGGGGAAATATATGTGAACCATTACGCATCGAGTTGACAATTGTTTTAGGTATGCCCGTTTGCGCTAAGACGGAACCTAGTCGCAAAAATGGCCATGAGAGGGGCACGAGTCGCTATTCGGCTTGTCCCGGAATACCACGAGTTGGTCACGAATGAATCAACTGCAACAATAGCGTGACGTCATCATAATGGTTTACAGGTAGTGAGTACACCACAAAGGAACCATTTGTACACGGGGGATGGAAGAACGAAGTGTCTAGTACTGTATACAAATCCATAAACCATTGATGATGGTTTGGGTTTTGTTGTCTTTCATTATGTCTTATATGTTTTTCGTCGTACAGCGGGTGTTCTCTTCAAGAGCAAGTCGCTGATTTAACTAACTGCGCGTCATCGTACCATCGTACCACGTCTTGTAGTTCATAATGACTGGCAATATGAGAGTATGTATATAGATCTCTATAGACTGTTTACTACAGTAATATATTAAATTAATTAATATGAAGAAAGTGATACTCAACAACAAAAGTAACTCACACCATGGAAAAATACAGATTCATTTCCTTGTGAGTTTTGTTTTTATTGATACAAATGCATTTGATCAATCCAGAAATGTTCCCTCAGCAACACGTGTTTGATGTTTAGAACATGTTTTTACGTTTCCTTCTACCCAGTGCCATACAGATGCATGCAACATACATGATTTGCACGTGTATGTCCTTTGTTTTTTTCCCCATAATTGTTTCTATGAAACACCAGACAAAACACACCGATAAAAAAGACAAATTTGAAAGTGGTATACTTTCTTTTTTTGTTTGATACACACCATATGCGATAAACGGGATGGGTAACCGATATATTGTCAAAGCGATTAGTTTGTAATCTTTAATAAATTATTCGATCAATTATAATGTTCATAATATGTGTTAAATGTGTGCTGATCATCCCAACTTTAACTCATTGATGGACTTGTTAAAATATAAACGAAAAATTCAAGAACATACATGCACATCGATGGCACATTGTGACCGTAAAAGGGTCATTTTGGGATCCATTCGCATTTCTGACCTACATAATACACCAGGAAGCAAGGGAGTTGTTTGTATTTTTTGTTTAACGCCGCACACAACAATATTCAGGCGGTCTGTAAGTAATCGTGTCTGGACCAGGCAATCCAATGATTGACCAGCATTGATCCACGCAATTGGAATACGATGACATGCATCAACCAAGTCAGCGAGCCTGACCACCTGATCCCGTCAGTCGCCTCTTACAAGTATGGGATATGATGAGCAATGGAGTAGTGATATTACATGATTTCACGGTAAACCGCATAACACCCATCATTCCGCATATAGATCGTACATCATGGTCGATGATTTTGAGAAAAGCTTGTTATAGGGACAATAGAAATCAGCTATAAAGTTTATATCGAACAACAGTTATATGAGTCATGACTAACGCCAGATTGTTTTGTGTTATGGCATAGTCACGTGAACTTGTGAAACTATTGATTGCAGTTCCAATGAAGATTCCTCCACATGCTGTTTAAGGTGGCCTCGTGAAGATCCGTGTTAGAATAATC